TCAGTCAGGCAGAGTCGGTCCGCAGCTCAGTGTGCCCACGCAACGGAGTGGCTCTCGCATCACGCATTGCCATGGCACGGGAGAAGAGAACACACTACTGGAGATGCCACGCCAACACCACAACAGTCATGCAGCACAGAGCAGTGAGGCCACAAACATAATTGCACGAACAGCACCACCACACACACACGTCACTCCCTGACGCCACACGCACAGACGCACTACGTGCACAGGCCGCACTTGACGCAGCCGAACACACCGGAGGCAACAAGAGCAAAGGCGGTGAAATGGAGGGAAAACACCACAGCTGCACATCATCCCAGCCGCACAAGGGCCCCTGCACTGCTGTGCCGCTCAACGCCACTCACTCACACCTTAGCCGCACCATCACAGCGCCCTTCGGCCAGGGTTGGGGGCACGCAGTCACTTCCACGAGCGCAGCAGCACTGCCTACAGAGCAGCAGAGAGAGGAGAGAGGCAACGATGCGGAACAGTGCACACACCGCAGACACAGCAGCAGCAAGTCTTCTCGACACTCTTCCACTCTCAGATCTTCACAACGAACCCCAACACCCCCAAACAAGAAATTAAAACACTTCTCACCGCGGAGAAGCACCCCACCACAAAGCCCAAGTGGCGTCAGTGCTCCCTCCCGTCACTGCGATGGCGCAGCGGAGAGGCAACAAGAAACAAAAACAACGGGGTGAATTCACCATACGAGCCGTCCCCGCAGCAGCGGAAACTTATTCACAGGCATCTCATTAATCCCGCTGCGAGAGCAAATGCACTTCCCCACAACACACACACACAAGCACGCATACTTGAGGACACGGAACATGCGGTGGTGCGGGTCGTGCACTTACTGTGGAGCCGCACGCGTCCACCAGCCCAATGGCGCCGCACTGCACACTCCGCCACAGCACCACTCCACCGCTGTGCTTCACAGAGCACCGCTACAATTAAAGAAAAAAACAACGTTTAAGCAACAGGTGGCACACAACCCCGTAGAAAAAGAAGCCGAAGCCCAAAACAAAGAGGGGGATGATGTACGCCCAACAACGGGCAGCAGCCACGCATTCCTGCAAGAGCCAGGGCGCACTAAGCACACACACAAGAGAGAGTCATTTAGAAGAATACTTCAGAGAAAGCCCGCTCATGTGGGCGGCGCACAATCATGTGCGAAGCAAAGCCCATTACAGCAGTGAGAGAGATGCGCCGTCCTCGTTGGATACAGAGCACAGGGAGTATCCTCCAAGAGGGATTACGTGGCGCGGAGAAACAAACGAAAAGTAAAATAAACCAAAACATGTTAGTAAACAATCTCCAGGGCAGCGCACACAAGCACAGGGTGTATGCGTCCTCTCCATGTGCACACAGACAGCTCAGCACACAGCCAGGAGGCCCAGCACACCAGCCACCAGCAGCAACGGTGTACGCACCCACGAAGGACAGACGCTGCTGTCCGCACTCAAAATGTCTTGCAGGGTGTTGTTTGCATTGTTGGTAGGAGGTATCAGTGATGCATGGGCAGCTTGAGAAGCACTGGTATCCACGGATTCGGCGGCCTTGTCCTTCTCAGATGAGCCTGCTGAAGACTGCGCTGTGTTGATGCCTGGCTTTTCTGTTTCACTTCCGGTGTTGTCGTCCACTGTTGTTGGGGGGTTTTCATCCGACGCCATTGTGGAAGGATTGGAGGCATTGTCGAATGCCGCCTGAGCTTCTGGAGCAGTGTGGCCAGAGGCCGGCGCCGTTCCTGCAGTTTGTTGGCTGGAATGCTGTGCACCGTGCAGAACGGGAGTGTGAATTCTGTCCTGTGGACCTTGCTCAGCCTCTCCTTGGCTTTGCCCTGGAAGGGACGGCTTTGCCGGAGCCTTTACAGCTTCAGGTTCTCCTTCCCCCTCGAAAGCCTCCAATGCACTTTCTAGGAATCCAATCATTGTTTCAGCACTCTTGAACGCCTTCTCTGCAGCCCCAACCAGAGTATCAGTGAGGCCAGGTATCTTATTGGCCTCTTCCAATGCCTGCTTTGCCAACTTCTCGATTTGTTCAGCAACTTCCACCCACTTATCTTTTTCTTGGTTCTTGGTTATCTTTTCTTTTAAGCTCTTTGCGTTTGTTGCAGCCACTTCAGCGCTCTTGTTCCCCAGCACTGCGACTGCATTTGCTTTCCAAGCGCTGGTGTTGGCCTCCGTCAAAAAGGTCACCATTTCTTCCTTTTTCTCCCATGCATCGTTAAGAAGCTTAGATGTCTTTGGCCCAAGAGTCGATCTCTGCTTCTTCCAATTCTCTTGTGGTTCCGTGGCCCAACGGACGGCATGTGGCAGCCACCACTCTAACGATGCGGCCCCGTCTGCTGCTGCAGAAAGAGCATCATATGCCTTCTCTGACTGCATCACTACGCCCAGCACCTGCTCCTTCACACTCTCCTCGTCACCGCCAACAGCATCTCTTTCAAGTGTATCCCTCATGGACCTCAAAGCTGAAACAAATCTGGTGGTCTTATCGTACGAGGCTTTCCCCACCGCCTTGGCCTCATTTGCTGTTTCATTGGCATTATTTGCTGCTTGTTTGACTTCAGATGTCAGCCCCTTAACGGACCTTGCATCCTCGATCAGAAGCTGCAGAGCAACCTTAGGGCTCAACACACCACCGACAGTCGCATCATCAGCCGCCACGCAGCCGAACGTGCAGCACAGCACGATGGCCAGGGCGCACAGTACGTGGCGCGCAATTATCGGCATTGTATATATTGCTTCGAATTCAGAGCACTGCGGAAAGAAAGAAGAGAGACAGCACGTACCACACAGAGACAACAGGGCACAGCAGACACAATCAATGAAAAAAACAATTCTCAAAGAAAACCATTGGCGGCACAACACAACAAAGTACGCAAAAACAAACCTCCAAAACTCTGAAGAAATGAAGGAATGTAGCGCCACGGAACCAATATAAAATGGAAAGTTGTTTGTTGTTAAACAGTTGCCTGCTGGTGTCCCTCTGTGCTGTCGGCGGGGTGCAGCGAGAGGCGGTGCGGCCCTCCACACCACGCCGCAGCGCAGCGTACAGACACAGGCGCGGAGGGAAGCAGCGGGTACACGACTCGAATGCACTCCGCAAGCCTTGAGAGGGGTGCAGCGCACAGGAGGGGCTGCAGCAGAAGCAATGAAAAGAAAAGGGTGTTGGCCTGCTGGGGTGCACACACACACAGAGTGGGGAGAGCAGCACCACACAGACCAACACCCAAAATCAGAAAGAGCCCAACATGCGCATCGTGGCGCAGCCCACACACAAGAGGGAGACAATTAGAAGACTAAATGATTCAGCGGGCGGCGCACGGCAATGTGCAAAGCAGTGCCCAAGCAAAAAGAAGGAAAGAAACAAAGCGCCCCCACCCGAAGTGCGGAGTATGGTGCGTGTCGCAGAGAATGGAGTTAATGACGCACTTCCCGCAGAAGGATAGCTAAATACAAGAAAAAGAGAACGCACAAAACCATCAATAAAGCATGCGTGTATTTACTTATCAGATACAAAAGAATTAAGGGGGAGTGGCCACCCCTTACACGCACATTTTGCTCAGCACACACCCAGAAAGGCGAGTGCAGCCAGCAGGGGCAGTAATAACGGTGCACGCACCCACGCAGGACTGCTGCTGGCGTCAGCACTGCCAGCGCCACGCAGTTGGTTGCTCGCAGCCACAACGTCAGCTCCAGTCTGGGAAGAAGATTCTGTAACGGGTCCGGTTTGTGTCCCGTCACCGTGCAGTGCGTCTGCAGCCCGCCCTACCTTCAGCTTCCGACTCTGTCGATTGTTGTGTGCTCGCGGCATCGATACTTACAACTTCCTTCTCAGCCTCACCATCATTGGCTGCAGATTTCGCAGCACCCTTCACTTTCTCCTTTGTGCTGTCAGAGGCTGTGTTGTGAATATCCGCTTGCTTCAGAGAAGTAGTCATGGGACGCCCCTGTTCAACTGTCGGCTCCTCGCCAGTTGTGCCAGTGGGAGGTGCACTGGCAGCACGGCGGTTGCCGGTATTCCGTGCAAGTGGATCATCATCGCGTACATCAGCACTGGGAGAAACGGTTCGCTGATCGCTCTGTGCTTTGGGATGCGCTGCCACATCTGACTCACCTCCCACCAACGGAGAAGAAAGAGCCTCGTCTCCATTGGCTTCGGCTTCTTTCACTGTGGAAATTCCTTCCGCAGCTTGAGCGAATTCATGTAGAGATGTAGCAGCCCGGTAGGCTGTATCAGCATTCTCTGACATCACTTTGGCTGCATTCAGTGCCAGTTTTGCCTTGGTCAGTGCGTCACTCGTTTTTTTTATTCCCTTCGTGGCCACTTGAAGTGCGTCATACACATTCTTTTGAACGCGCTCAAAGACACCATCGTTTGTAACGTCGAGCTGTGTGGCTTCGGAGACGAATTGGTGCGCAGAGTAAGCGGAACTTTCGGCACTCAAAACGGCGCCCATTGCTTCATGAGTAATGTCCTCTTCTGCCTTAGCATGTTCGTGAGCCTCCGTTACCCTCGTCATTGCCGATATGGCTGTCGTCTCTGCTTTCGCAACGCTTACATTTGTACCTTTACGTTTCTCAACAACACGCTGAACTTCTTGTAGCATCGACCCAAGGGGCTTCACTGCTTCATTTACCGCATTCGCCGCAGCAGAAACTTTCAGTAAGACACTGCTCCACGCATAAAGTGACACAGAAGCCGTTGCCGCTGCCTCATTGGTTTTTTTGGCCGCATCTGAAACCTCCCTTTTTAAATTCAGCACTATTCTTGAACATACCATACTTCTTCCCAGAAACAGCCAATGATTTATTCAGTTTGCTCAATGCTTCATAAGCCACTTTCACTGTCGAATTGGTTGCCATTAAGTTAGTCAAAGCCTTTTCAACTGCATGTACGGCTGCAACAGCATCAGTTTTGGCATTCTCCGCTACCTCCTTCGCCGCCAAAGTGAGTCTCAGAGTATTACTCGACGCAGCCATCGCAGACCCCGGCTCCAGACGACTCACTGATGCCTCCACGGCCTTCACTGCACCCCTCCTGGCGTGTCCAACTTGCGCCGTGGCAGACGGCACACCACCACTGTGGGGCGATGCACGGCTCACGTATTTCTCCAGCGGCTCCTGCTGGGGCTCCGCAGCCACGCACAAGGCCACACAGCAAAGCGCGAGAGCAAGCACACACATAACGCGGCGCACTGTCGCCATCATTCAATATCGCTTGAGCAGCTGGGGTCTGCAGGGAGGAGAAAAGAGAATCGATGCACAGCAGGCAGCCCCAACACACACACACAC